AATAAAACTACTAGACTTCTGAAAATCGTATCAACTTCGATTCTACGTGTTTCAGCGCCATCGCCTTACCGACCGTTACCTTCGAGCGCTGTCAATTTGCCACGATACGAAAATTCCGATCGGTTCGACTAAATTCGTTTTCGTGGCAACCTCGAAGGATGCTCTCTTCTTGTCCACGCGGTGGTCGCAATCGTCGATCGCCAGGTAACCGATTTAAGAGTGGAAAGCGTCCAGCAGTCGGTGGTCGGTCGGTGGTTCGATTGTAGTCCTTATCACCGGCAGTAACAGGGCGCACTCTCGCGTGCCAATGATTGCATGGTCCCTGGGCGTTCTACCGTGAGCACTGCCGTTGTACTAATACTATTATGGAAGCAGGTCCTTGGATCACCATGAACGTACTACCTTCTGTGCCCTCCAGGAATACAGAGCAGGTTACGTACACGGTGTCAGTTGCATGTCCTAATCAGAGCTAATGTCCATTGTTCACTCGCTGGACAGCGGAGGCAATGTTCGGAGTAATCGATCGGTCCATGATTCAAAATCTTTCAGGACCTATCGGTGCTCGAATTCCGACAATATTTCAGACTTTCTCTCGGAATCGAGCGGACGGAATATGAATAGCCGTTGGACAAGAAGCGACGACGGTGTCGCTTTGGAAAATCGATAACTTTAAATATTCCGAGTAATTATATTGCCAAAAGGATTCCGGGGTGTATTTAAGGGCGAGGCAAAAGCACGCGTAACGGGTTGGTAACGTACGCGTATAATTTACCTTGTATCGTGAATATTAGCGCGCAACAGCATTCAACGTAAATCAGACGAAATTTTCGCGCGTTGAAGCACGATAGAGCACGCGTGTCGTGTACGAACGCGCGAACCGAGTACAACTTTTCATACTAACTTTTTTATTCGTCATAATTCATGCGCAATCGCAGCATTTTCCCAATGAATATGTTATAGCCTAACGCGAAGAATTTTGATGTAAACATTTATCAAATAAACTTTGTTGGAAAAAATTCTCCTATACCGTTCGCGGGTTCACCAGTAATTTGTGAAATTTAACTGTACGATGTATTGTAACGATGAAAAATGGAAAAAAGTGGCTCTCCCGGCCGGGATAAAAATAAAAATACAAATGCAAATAAATATGGAATTTGCCAGAATTTCGTCCGATTTTAAAATATATATTTAACCGGTTATATACGCGGTCCTGCTGTTCATACCCTTTGGTTTGCCAGGTTTTCGCTGGCTTAACTTTAATACGGAAAAGCGCAGGATCGCGCGGAGCAGGGTTTAAGCTTGGCTTACGCTTTAAGTGACAGTAATGAAATCAGGTGTCAGTTGGTTTTGTCGGTAGCGGATTCTACTTTCTTTCATGCGCGCTCCTTTGTTGACACGTCGTGTGGAACTACCACTTGGAAACGGCAAAAAACAGATAAAAGGAACAAGGGGTGTGGACGATATCAAGAGCGGTACTTGAAAATCCTCCACAACGAACTCGATTCGAAACTCGGCAAAACTTTGTCGAATATTTTATCTCGTCATCCCGAAATCACTTTAACCCGCGGGCGTTCTTAATTAATTAACACGTAAGCCCGTAAGAAAGAGCCGCGTTGAATCCACGGAAGGAAACGAAATGAACGCGGAACAAGAAAGATCAGAGCCTGAAAAGCCCGTTAAAAGAATGAAAGGGCGAGAGAGAGGGAGGGTGGCAGGAAGGAAGGAAGGAAGGAAGGAAGGAAAGTAGACAAGAAGGAATACTAGATGAAAGAAAGAAAGGAAGAAAGAAAGCAAGGTGAGGGGCAAAAGGGGATGAAAACGATGGAGCCGAGGTAGGTAAGTGAGTGGGATTACTTGGCAAACCGAGACCCGAAGCCGGCACTGAAGCATCAGCCTCGGGCAGTAGTTACACCATAGCTCGGTTCACCCTCTACCGCAATTCGCGAGCGTACGTACTTCGGATCTCCTGGCGTTTCCCTAAAAGATCTACGAGCACAGACCCCCCTCTCTTTATTCCTTGCCTCGTCTTCCTGCTACTCTCAACTTCCACCTCCTCCCACGCACGTTTATTTAGCTACTACGTGTACTTGACATTACGTAATTAAATGCATACAACTAGCAGTGAGAACTGCCGCCTTGGGGCATATATTAGACTACGAGAGATACAACGATTCGCGAGCTGTATAAGATGGCCTGTCCCTCATAATCGTTCTAACGCGAAAACCATTTTTCTCAGCGCGGCATTCCACTCGATACCGTACGAAAGAAAATATAAAGGTATAACGAGAAGAAAAATTAGGGTTTATACGCGATCCTTTGAGGAGAACACGGCGTCGCATGTAACCGCCATAGTCGTATCTAGGTTTTGTTTATCGCCTGTTAACCCGCCGTGACTGTGGTCGACGTAATCGCAGGGTCATTAAAGTCATTAAACCACTACACTCAACGCGTCGCTATTTCCACACCCTCTCCAAACACTGATTTATTTTCTGAAACTTTTCTTTTACCACCGCTTCGTTCGCTAGCTCTCTTCGTTATGACTCGTGACGGTAAATCTTAGCATCGGTAACGACGTTTTTAACGAACTCGGTGTTACCTGTAGTCTGTAACCGTATCGTTCGAGTTCCATAACGTGGATCTTTATAACTTGACCTTAATATGAAAGCTTCTTCGCGATTTGATTACGCGCCAAGTATTTTCCCCCGGCGAAATCAAATTACTGCGTCGTTTCATAAAACAAAATACAGCTCGGTACTTTATAGAATATCAGTCGTAGCGAAGAAGAAAAGATAGACGAAGAAAGAGTGGAGGGAAACTAAGGGAAGGCCAGTGAACGCGTTGGACAGCTCCGAGACTAATGAACGAATGGGTCCCCACGAAAAAGGGGAGGGCAATAAAAAAGCTTACCGTCGCTTTTGCGGTCAGTTAACTTTACTGTCCCGTTTTTCCTTCTCTACCGTTGCTTCATCTTTATCGCATTACGGACCAATTCCAACAACGATAAGAACGTTCGGAATATTGCTACGATAAGGATATAATTATCGCGGTACGAAGATCGAGAGAACTAAGGGAATACTGGCCAAACCGTCGTCGGTGCATTCGCTCGAAACTCGCACGGTCGTTTAGCTAAGATATCGAGTGATTAAAAATAATACACGAGTGCGCGTGATCGGAAGTTTGCTCGCGTGTAGGCTAACACGAACCAAGCACGAGTCACAAAGCTTGGCTTTGATTCCCGCTTTTCCACCTTGCTCTTATTCTACCCCTACACGTAAAGTAAGCGTAACCTTCTGCTCGATACGTTAGAAACCGTTCGTGCGTTAACTTTACACAAACTCTGTACGTACTACGTAGAAAGTGCAACTAATCGATAGGAGTAATGGTCTCGCTTCTGTTTTCAGGTACCTCGTTCACTCCCCTTCGTTTGATTACGCTCAAACACGTTACGCAAATTACATACCTACTTTCAAACGTTCCACCCTGCTTTACTGGACGAGTACGCAAAACAACCTTTGCACACACGTTACCATTTGGTTCGAGCAACGAAATAACAGGTACGTCGTTATTCCTCCATCGTGTTTACTACTCTCGACCATTACAATTATCTTTCTCACCCTGCGTTTCTTTTTCTACAGATAATTCCGCTGTAGATAACAACGATGCTCAAGGAGAAGAGAGCAACGGACGGTATAACGCGAACCCGTTCTCGCAAGATTCTGTTAGGACCAGATTCGAATTTACCGTTGATAAGGAGGCGATTTTATCCGCAGCGGTCGGTAATGCGACTCGAAGTCGGTAACGCACCTGTGCAGGTGTTTCCAGCGGACTTACCTTCTCTCGCGTGTCACGCGATAATCAAAAGGGTTTAACGGTCGTTAAAGATGGTATCAAATATATTTTTCCACATTTCTCCAAATAGCTACGCTTCGCGTTACAATCAAGATCGATTCGGAATATCAAATGCGCTTTATAATGACATTACGAAATTGCGAGTAAACTTATGCGAGAATCGCTTTGTTCGAGAACCACCAGCCTATGGATAACATAAATTCGTTCACGTTATTAATATCGGGGAAATGTGCACTATACGGTGGTGATAAATCACGGACGAAAAAAAGCTGTGACGTGTGCAAAGAGCAAACGAAAATTCAATGGGTACCGAAAGATCAAAAGTATCGAAAAGAATATCAATAGAAGTGCTCTCCGAACAAATACACAAACATAGTTGCGCTTAAAAACTGTGGATATTTTCAAAATATCGACGTACAGTAGATATCAATATTGTGCATTCACTGATTGCTAATATCTATTCAGAATTCGACACGCATGCACGATCAAAGTCGATTCGCGAAACAACTAAGCTGTGGATTTTACGCATAAAGTGTTTATCTCACAAAAACATGTGAAACGAGTAAAATTAAGTGAAATAAAATAAACCTATGAGCGGTCATAACGATACGATAACTTTAGTAAAATCTCGACAGTATTCGAATTAAATCAAGTGCAATTAAGCAGAAGATTTGGAAAATTTCCTTCCTCTTTGAACGGTTAAACGTTAGATATGAAGAATTTCTTTCGGTTAAAATAAAAAAATATTTATATGCACTGCATTATAAAGACGCACTGTCGACATTTTACGTGAAAACCCGTTAACGTAATTCAGTAACCACGTACGAAACGCAAGACTTAAAAGAGCTTATCGTCGGTAATGACTTTAACGAATAATTGATATTTTATCGTAGAGTTAATATAGAATTGATGCAATGCAATAAATTTCATTTTATCTGTACCGATGACGTTCTTATCGCTAACGCTGCGTCGCACCGATCGATATTACAAAATATAGATCACTCTAATTCTACTAACAATTTATGTTTCCGGATAAATAATTCGTAAGATTTGTGACGAAATCGTGTGTACTTCAAATGTTTGCGTTTCGTAAAAATATGTTACTGAACACGAAAGTAAAAGTAAATGAAGGAAAATGAAAATAAACATACGTTCGTCTGCGGTAAATGTTTGAATGTTTTGGCGCATTCCCTCTTGGGATGGCTCTGTCGGTACACACCTGCCTTCTCCCGATTCGATCCTTTCTGAATTCAACCTGAAAGCAAATAAAAGTAAGATTAGTTTTCTCAAAATAATCATCTGTCCCGTTAGTCTGAATAACAAAAACAAGACACGAAAAATAAATCGCGATTATACAAAAAGTACATAAAAAATAAAGAAAGAATTGAACGAAGTTTACATTGTGTATACTATTGAAAAAGCCTAATGAATAGAAATATTAATTCAAATAAAAATATAATTTAATTCGGCATTAGTGATTTGACTATGATTGTTAAAAAGTAAACAACGTGAACGTAAAAAAAAGAGAATAATTTTTCAAATAAATATGTGATACAATCATCGGATATCGCAATATGATTCTCAATGCGTTCGATGAAAAATAATACGACTGTTTAGGAGCATTAAAAAATCGATACTTTTCTTTTAGTTGACTCAGGAAACAAAAAAGTGTGCGAAAACGAAAGATAAATATTAGAAACCGAATGAAAACGACGGCAAATAAGTGGAAAGAAATCTGACTGAAAACGAGCGAGAGAATGTAAACTAGAAAATTTTACGGAAATGTAAGCGACAGTGTTATGAGACGCGAGAGGTTATATTCACTGACGCGTTTAATTGACATGCGACGCATGCTTATCTTCGCACGTTTTATATAATCTATATCATTACTGTACGATTACAGTCACCTATTACAAAGTTCAACGTCCTAACCTCGGTTTAAAGCCAATTCGACGCACGATGTAAACAAATTGATTGGCCCCTTGTTTGGAGACGACCATGACAAGGTAGGAGAAACGATTATATACGGAACAGCAAAACACTTACCACAATTATCCTTGCTACGCCGAACAATCGAGTATTAACGCCTCATCTCTACAGTTACATCTTAAATAAGCGTACACTGTATCTACTTTTCACCCACTGCTCTTAAAAGAACTTGTGTAAAATATATAAAAAAGGCAACAATTAGGAAACTGACGAGAACGTCGCCATAGCGGTGTTGGTACTGCGCGGCCATATTGGTTTAACGTCCTCGCTTGGAATCTGGCGCGAATTTACAAACATGACCAGCTATACACGTGAAATGAAATTTCCCTTTTTTTCAAATCTTATTCACTGTTTGGCAGAATTACAACATCAGATATTATTGAATTAATGTTATTCAACCTAATTAGTTAAGGAATTGTTGAAATTTCTGGTCAAAGTTGTAAATTCTCACAATTACGCAACGAGTTACCGATTGGAGCCAGGTATTTAATGTATAACAAAAGTATTGTATATATTGGAAATAAAAGACACAAAATTCACATTACTAAACATTAAAATATGAAATTATATGTTTGAAAAACAAATTTTTCACGCACGAATGCTGCACATTATGAATACCGTACAAACATCAAGACTGTTTATGTATTTAAAAATGTTTTACGCAATATTGTAACATGTATAGTATAAAAATCTCGTTTGTACACATTGTCAACAAATTTTGTGTAAAATATATTGAATAAACCGCAATTATTAGAAAATTAAAAAGAACCTTACCATAGCGATGTTGGTACAGCACGGCCATATTGTTTTAATGTTCGTACTCTGAATTGGCGCCAATTTACAAACATAGTTGAGTATTAACGTGAAGTAAAATGCAATATACAACACCTCTTGTTTACAAAGTACACCTCAAAATACTTTCACACTTATATTTTTTAAGTTATTAGATATGTGTATCTATGTAAATCAGGAAGCAAATACAAAAATTCTGAATAATTACTTGAACAAAATTTGAGAAGCTTCTGCCAAACGCAATTGAAACGTGTCGTTTGATTCATGATGACGTCACACGTAAATTGCGCCATCTGTTGCACGAAATGAGACTTTAGCAAGACTCGTACCTTGGTTACTTTGACGTTATATTGAACAGAATTCTTTCATTAAAAGTCATTAATAATCTATTGACAAGTAGCATATAAGTGATCACAAAGTGTCTTCTGGAATAAATTGTTCATTATATTATAATTCTGCATAAAATGAAAGTATATATAACGCAAGTTGGTCCAATCTATGTTGTAACAAGCAGTGCAATCTTCTGCAGCAAATGAACATAGGTTTGTATAAGTCACAGTAGTATTTTAAAAAAAATATATAACTCAGTATATCGCATGTAGCTATTCACAAAATGAATAGGAAGTAATCATAAGTTGATAAGATTGTAGAAAATTTATCTTACATATCTACACTAGTGAATCATTAATCACAAAATATTAACAAGTTTTATTTTTGTATAGGTTACCAGAGAACGCTGTCAAGAATATCTGATTATAAAAATATCATGTAAATTGATTACGAAGGAAATATAAATTAACAAACCCTGAATTTAGAATCTTCAATTATACATAACTATGAATATGCAGCAGCGAAAAGAACAAACTAGGTAAAAATTGACTCGTATGATTCTCAGAATATTGTACTATAATCTTATTAAATAATTAAATTGAAATTAATAAAGAAGAGTGTTGAAATCAATAAATTTCAATGAGTTGGTAAAAGCGGAAACTTGAAATTTTCGTTCCCAGATGACACCACTACACACTCGGAAAACCATTTCCATATATAGTGCACCATTTCACCGACTGCTGTGAAATGTACCCTGTTGCAGTAGTTTCGAGTTTAGCTTGCAGGTAGCGACAGTTGGTTCACGACTTCGTTGAAGTTGATAATAGTTAATGTACGAAGCACAAATTATTCAGTAGTAAAACTATTATTATTAATTTCAATAATATCGGACTCTAAATTGTTATCAGTTTAAATAAAAAATACTGCTTGGAAAGTATCGATTATTGTGAGTTTTCTATTCATTCGATTGGATGTTTTAGGTGTCTGACTAAATGATGGCGCCACTTGTACGATTTGAACGATTCGCAGTGTGAAAATTCAAGAGGGACTACTAATAATAATTATGTAAAAGTAATACTAAATTTATATTCGTTTATAGTGAATGTACAGTTTAACAAATCTTTCTAAAGGAAAAATATTATTTACCTATTTTTAGCAGTGAACGCTGAAGCTTTCTTATCATTCGTGTATCGCATCCTGTTGTACCAACTGATACCGACACTGCATCACAGCGCTCTTGCTGGTAAGAATTAAACTTCCTTCCTTATTTTAAATAACACATAGGGAATTAAAAATTTTCATTTGCTCATTACAAAAAGAAATGCTTAACTAAGGATATTGCTTTTTCATGATTCAATTTTAAACACGTTTTTGGTCAAATATAATCAATCTTTCCTCTACAGTCGAGGAATTCGTTTCTATTCACGTTAATCACGTATCAGTACCAATTACTAATTTGAATGTTTGTATGTGTATTTAGTGTGTTAATGCGCATCCACGTGGAGGTGTATTATTGCATTTTCTAGTACGATTCTCCATGTGATCAGACTAGACGCATGGTACACGTATATGTCAGTGTGTTTGCCTATGTGATTGGACACGCGTTCCTCGATGTATTATATGTAAAGCCTGTTTTATGGTGTGATCCCACATGTGTCTCTACGTATATTAGTACGTACTCCACATGTTTTAGAGTATGGTGGTCGATGTGTTTTAGTATACTTTTACAAATATCCTAGTACGTTTTTAACTTTAAAATGCATTATTCATCTAAAATTTAATAATTCTTACGATAATGTAGGAACGAATATAATAGAAAGAATATAATTAAATTTTAAACGTTATTAAATATGTTTAGGTAACGTATGGTTCTTTTCCTAATCATTAATTCATATTATATTTTCACTTCACCAGCTCATTACTAATGATGTAATATTACTAGTAGAACGAAAGTAGTGCCATCGCAATAAATACTCTTGCTAAATGTTCTTCTGGCTGGATAGTCATTGTAACTTAGCCAAAGATGAGCCATCAAACGTTCTTCTCTTCAGATGGAACGCTACAATTTTCAATTTTCTCATAAACATTTAACCGTTTCGTTGGAACATTCCACGGAAAAGTATATTACATTTCGTGTCGTGGAGAAAACTCAAAGTAGGACGGGAAATTTTAATGAAAGCCGCGTGTCTAAGTTTATGACGCATGTCGGATGTTTCGTGCAACAAATTGTGAGCATCGTGGAATATGTATTTCTCAAGTCTGGAACTTTACATCCCGTATACGAAGACCATCGCGTTAAGAGTCGTTACGTAAGTTTGGTTATCCGCTGCCATACGAAAGCGCATAACTTCCTTAACGAACTCTCGAACGAACTTTGGCGACTTACTGCTTCGATTTCAGTCTCGCATACCTTGTTTAATTAGCGTCAATAATTTCTAGACGCTACCTTGCTACCTTCTTCGCTCCCTTGGTTCTTTTCTTGTCTGTATTTATTCTTCGAAAATGTTTCTCTGCGGTTGGTACGTCGATTTTCGACAGTTTTATGCGCTAGAAATGGACCATTAAACGATTAAGAACAGTATATGACAAACTGGGAGCGCTACTTGGTCTCGAAAGTAACCTAGATCAATAATTTGTAGAAACCGTGAGAATAATTTCAAAAACTTTAAAGCTCGTAGATGCGTTTTCGTTCTCAGTCGACGACTACGATATAACAGAAGGGTAGCGAAGTTACAGAGGCGGAGTTTCAAACTTGTATAAATGTGTGTGTAGCGTAGCAGTCTCTTTTCATGTTTCTGATTACTTTACAAACTTTTTTACCGCACCCGGCAGTGCAGCGAAAGCTTTCAGACGTTTGTTTCTGGTGCGTTCTACCTGAATTATATTTAAAAAGAATCGCATTCGTGCGACACTCGTTATATCAATCTTCTGTCTCAAAATTGGCGGGAATACGGGTCCCCAAACTGAGAAGAAGCAACAGCAAAATTTTGCTGATAAACTGTTAGAAAATTAGTTCTTTATAAGAACTCGATAATGGACCGCCAGTCTGATCGAGGTTTTCTGGCTGTCAACTTCTACGTCGATCCAGTACGCAGCATCCGAACACATGAGCTTCGTTTCCAAGGTAAGACGTTAAATAATTCTATAGTTCTACTATAACGATAGAACGAAACACGTCAGACTTAAATTGTCCAAAAGTCTAATCGATCGTGAAAGATCATTAATTGCTCAGTACGATTGGCGTCTACCAAGATGGCGGCAGTTTGAATTTACCGTCGCCATCTTGGTAGATGTCATCCGCACTAGGCAATTAATGACCCAGTTTTTACGATCAAAATTTATACAATGTTTGAGCAACTTTGACACGCGTTTTGTTCGTTATTAATTAGACGCTCGTTCGGTACAGATTCAGAGAAAGCGCACATATAAATTCGGTAGACTATCGGCTATCAACCTTAACGGTTCGGTGACCGATTATTCGTGCCGTTCGGGAGGGCCGTCTTGCCTTCCTCGATCGCCACGAATTTCGTTCGAACCAAGGAAACTAACTGATTTCCCACGGGATAAATCTTTGGCTAAGGCACGGAACGTTAGTGAGAGTTTGACGTAAATCGATCGTAGAAGCTCGGATGCGATTACGAACGAGTTACCGTCGCGATTCTTAATCTGAAACGGTTCTTGAAACTCTTCTAGAGCCGTTTTACTCGATTCGTTTCCACCTTTGGTTTTTCCCTCTCGTTTGCTCGATTCGTACCTTTTACGAACGATTTTGCTCCATTTTCTCGAGCTATCAAACGCACGCGTATCAGCCGTATCAGACATATCATAAGTAGCTGCGTGTGTTTCGAACGCGCTACCATGTGTTACACGTTCCGTAACGTATGCTATATACTGCATGTTGTGTGCTGTGCACTGTATGCACAGTGTGTGGCGAGTCCTATTGCCTGTCGGAAGATTTGTATCTGAACACTGCTCGAGGCAACTCCATCTTGAAATGGCCGTTATTCCGTTCTAGTAATCATATCGGAAGGGATTTACGCGTGTACGCGAAGTAATTGCTTCTGAGCTAATTTCCAGCATTGTTGCTGTTTCAAACGTTCTAAAGTATTCTTCAATTTGTTTGCGACGCGTAGACACGCTCCTACTTA